AACAGCGGATCACATCAAGAAGCTCGATTGTTTGTCGTAGTAAGTGAGTCATAGGTATCCTCATAATATGATTTATTGCCGCATGAGCTGTCTGTGTTGGTCGATATTCCAGCAGTCCTGGACCTAAATACCCTGCCAAACACCATGATGCATGATGGGCCCGATGCAGCTCGCGCCCCTTTCATGATCGAAGAGTCCAACACTGCCCGGGCCGGACAGTTGCGTCGTATGCTTGTTGGGCCCATGGGGTTTCCCTAAGCCGGGTTATCATTGTAAAGGCGGACACACATGACAGCAGAGGAGCCGCTGATCATATGAACATGCAAAGCGTTTCCGGACAAAGCGGTGCAAGCAGACTGTGCAGCATGGCGGGAGTCTGTTGGACGTATCTTCGTTAACTTTGCGCCACAGTATGAACCCTGTCAGGTTGCATCGCAGAAACACGAAAGCCATAGATTTCTCTCAGCTTTAAAATCGAGACATACGTGTTCATCACGTCTTGCGCTAGAAAGCACCGACAGCAAAGCCAGTCTCAGCAGGTGCCGCAACACTTAATTTGCACGGCTCCATACACAACCGGAAAGCTAAAAACTAAGATGCAACCCCGACACCTTGAGCCGCCAACCCGATCACTGCTAGATTGAATTCTGACTTTTGCAGCAGAAGTTACTCTTCGACCTTCAACCGAGACACGCTATCTTTTCAAATCAGAGATGCTCGTAAAGGAAACATGCTGACGGGCCCCACCTGCAGGCTCGACTGCAAGAGCGTGCTGCACGCCTCAAAGCGGTTTCCTGCATGGTTAGTCGCCGGGAAGAGACTGGGAATTTGCTGTTTCAGGGTCACAAGAAGCCGTGTTTTGACATCGGAACAACAACAAACGGTTCAGCATCAATTCGGATGCCCGGTTCAGGTTGAAAGGCTGTCCCACGCAGTAGTGCCACATGTGCAGTTCACCATGCTCACCTCAGTCCGAACGCATTTGGATCTACAAAAACAGCTGCAAAGCATTAATATAGTTGGGGCACGAGTACAGCATAGCATGACGACACGTGCCGTGGGGGCAAACAAATCGCACGCTTCGACATGATTATAGCCTTGACACATGTGTTTCTCTTCGCAGTGCTTCGTAGTGAGACTAGTTTCTGATCGTCCGGAACCGACAAGCGCAGGCGCAGGCCGCGAGCAGGTTGCGCATTCTCACCCGAAACCCTAAACCCTAAACTCCGAACCCTAAACCAAAAGCCTTAAAGCCCAAACCCTAAACCCTGCACCCGAAAGCCAAGCCCTAGAACCCAAACCCTAAGCCCTGAACCCTAAACCTTAAGCCCTGAACCAGCAGGTTTCCACATGGTGCCCGACCCTATTGCTTGGAATCCTGGTCGGGTCTGTGTTCGCTGTTCTCCTGATCGACCGGCGACCACGAGCAACAGGCCGTGGGGGGCTGGAGGCTGAGGGAGTTTGGGTAGTCGGGATGACGATGACGATGCAGACAGCGATCCGATGTGAATGAGTATGGCTCTGGTTCTTACGATGCTCTTACAGCAAAACCGTGCATGGGTAGGGTTTTTTGTGGCTGCTTCATGTTGGGTTTGTGGCCATGACTTTTCAACATGCGAGGATGTCAGATGTGATTCTGGAGATCTTGTTCGTGGCGTTACGCATAGCTTCGAGAGATCTGGAGCCGAACTTTTGCAAAAATGTGAATGCCAGCACTCTCAAACTATCGAACCACAGCCCCCAAGCTCCAGTAAAGACTTCTCCGTCTGACTGCGACTTTGGAAATTTGTATGTATGTCCGCCTGTCTGTGTGTTTGTCTGCTTGTTTGCGTGTTTGTGTGTCTGTTTGTTTATTTGTTGGTTGGTTCGTTGGTTGGTTGTTTGGTTGGCTGGCTGGTTGGTTGGCTTGTTTGCTTGCTTGCTTGCTTGTTTGTTTGTTTGTTTATGCGTGCATGTGTATGTAAGATGTGTATGTTCAGGTATCCTCCAGACATGTGACCTTGAGATGTGTTCATGCGCCTATGTCCCAGCTCGTTCATTATCTTCTGCTCAGTACTTCGGAGTCTCTTCGACTTCTGAAGCCTTAAAGGTTGAATTCTTCGCCTTACATGGAGATTGATGATTGATGACGTCCTGTGGAGAGTTTTGCTTCATCGCCCCAAGAAAGCAAGTGCCGAAGTATCAGAACCTGAAACTCCAACCATCCCACTCCGGCGCTGGACACCACCGGTGACGAGTTGACAGGTCACGTAGTCTCGTCGACGTCTTCGCCGCCGGTGGTTGTGGTACAGCGGTTCCTTGGTCCATCCGGAGGATTCCTCGAGGCGTCTTTTGGTTGCGACTGTAGTTTGATGCAACCTATGACGGCGTTGATCGCTTTTGGTACCAGGGGTGTGAGAAGGTTCCTGCTGTTTGGGTGTGTCATTCTGCCTGTCGCTTGAGCCTTGAGCTTTGATCCGTAGAAGCCAGGGTATAAGGCCCTTTTTGCTGGGTTTGATTTTGCGTTTTTTGGGCTGAGTGGTCGGGGCCTGAGGATGCTGCAATTCTTTCCTTCAGCTCCAATCGCTAATCTGCAGCAGGCCTTTAACAACCTACAAGCTTCAAGTCGTAGTCTGGACGAACCTTGGCTCGCTTTTTTTGGTTTGTTGCCCTTCGCTGCAGAAGGTCTGATGAGGAGCTGCGGAGGAGCTTGGACAAGCTCCTTCTCTGCAGGAATGCTTTTCGATGTTTTCGGGGATCCAGCATACGGTTGGCTTGGAACAGTCTGCAAGCAGGCAGAGACAGAGAGAGATAAAGAGAGAAAAAACCCGAACCACTAGAAATCACTGGACCCTTCGTTGTCATAAGGTTGAAGCTACGCATTGGTTTTTGTATTGCGCATCATTGCTCTGCTAGGCATCTGCACTTTCCTCAACTTTCACTAAGCGGCCAAGACCTTGGTCATATCTTTGAGGTACTTGTGCGGAGAGCCTGCCCAAAACTTACGAAGCTTGTAAAGGCCTCCCTTGATACGCATATGGGTAGTTCTCTAAACAAGTGTCCCTTTTAGGGTCCTTATACAAAGGATGCCGTAGTATTTAGGGGACCTGAAAAGGGACCCTAGTTCAGCGAACAACCCATATTCCGAGGACTAGATCCTGCAGTAAAGCTGTTAAAGAATATGTCACGATCTCCACAGTTTAGGGTACTTGACTTAGGGTGGTGCTGGATGCTACATGTTTTCCATGAGAAGCGGCACTGGCAAGGCAATACTCCAGACACATACGGGTGGCTCTTGAAGGCCACAAGATCGCGGCAGCGGTCAGCGGCAACACCGACTAAACCCTAAACCATTGAGTGCACTTGAACGAGTTCTGACATCACCTCAAAAAACCCTAAACCATCAGGAGCCAAGTCAGCAACGGAATCGGGAAAGAGGGACAACGAATACCTCTGCCACGGCTGCAGAGGCTGCGTGCGATGACCGACTTTCTGCTGCTGCGTCTGCGAGTACTACGGTTGATGATATAGATCCTGCAGTACCTGAAGGACCCTTAACTATGGGAATTATGGTACATTCCATGTTATGGGTCATGCAGGATTTATATCATCAACTGTATCTGCTTCTACGACAATGATGGATGCCGACGGTTGTGGACTGCTGCTACTGCTACGGCTACTGCCGCTGCTACTGCATTTTTGATTTGCTCCAACTACCACAGCTTTCCAGTTGCTGCGTCGGCCCAAATTCCAGCTGCTGCTCTGACTCTGCTTCCTTTTTGAATGATCAGAATCAGAAACCGGAACGACCCTTTCATAGCCCCCAGTCCTAACCCCTTAATCGTAAACTCTGGATCCCTGAACCTTGAACCGCTAACCCTCTGCTGTGCAGAGGCTCACCACGAAGCCGGCCCCTTCCAACACGGCATCCAGGACCTGAGCTCATTGTTTATAATCCCCGAGCTCGATCCAGGCCCTTGAATTTTGCGTCTGGGGCCTGGGGTATACCGGTGCCCTTCAGCTAAGAATTATACTTGAGTGCATCTTGAGCCATGATACGAAACCCCCAAGGTCTTGACTTTGAAGTGTTTTCTTGAACAAATGGGTATTCAGTATTCGTCTCAACTGAACCCTAAATGCCGCAAACCGAAACACAGCATCCCGAATCCTGAAGCCCAGGACCTATGTTCGGCTCTGCGATGGCAGTGGAAATCCTCAGTCGCCTCTCGGCAGCTACTTCACCATAGCTGTTTTGCATAGTTCTGCGTGGCGGACGTCTGTTGTGACGGGTCCCTGAAGCACTGGAGATCAAAGTACGAGTCTTACGTGACTTCATCTCTGGAAAGCTAAGGCCATGTGTGCCTGAATCGTGCTTGGATGGAGACATGGACTTAGGGTCGACCTGTACGGTGAGAAGATATGACTCGATACTCTGTCAGCGCAGCTGTGGAGTCCGAACCCCGGCGGTGTCCTTCGACGGAAATTCCTTCACAGTCACTTGTTCTGACGACTTCACGGGCCATGCGCAGGACCATCGGCGTGTGGTTCGCAACTCCTGGGAGTGGACGGCTTCCGCCAGTCACCTCATGGCCGTGGATCTCGTGGGAGGCGGTGGTGCGGGAGCAGGATCTGTGATCAGGACGCAGCAGACGGACGATATTGAGGTGACCCTTACATCATCGCGAGCCCCAAATGGAGTTGACCGACCCCCAAGTGGAGTTTACCATCGTGATACGGACGGTGCTGGGAGAACGAGATATGTCAGTTCGGGTGACGTGTATCACCTTGGTTTCCAGGACCATGAAGCTTGTGCAGCTTTGCCTGGGGAAAATGAAGAGGGCTGTTGGACCATTCGATTCAATCCCGATGTCTTCAAAACCACCAGGGCAGGTTCAAGCCCTGGACTGCAAACTTTGATGATGGCAAAGCTCGACTGGCCATCTGACAAGGTACCCTTTGGAAACCACAGCTGGACATTTGTCGACATTCAATATACTAACTTTTATCACCAAACACTAAGCATGTATGGTGGCTCCGCACAAATCACTGTGGAATTGAAGCCTCTTGTCACTTCCTACGGCATTTGTGGTGGTTCGGGCGGAGGTGGGGCTTACGCCCGTGCCATGGTGGAGGTGAAAGCTGGCCGTACCTACCGTGTTGAAGCCGGTCGTGGAGGTAAGGGTGCCATCGGCGGCCACGGTGCCGAAAGCGGTCAGAGCAGCCGATTCTTGGAGAAGGACGACGCCGGAGAGTGGCATGTACTGGCGGAAGCTCGCGGAGGCTTCGGTGCAGGATCCTTCGATCAAAAGCTGAACTTCTCCCCAGGCGGGCAAGGGGGTGCGGTGCCAAATTTCCCTGCTCATGTTTTGGCTGCTCCCGGAGCAGCCGGGCAGGCGTCACGGGCGAGCTTGCAGTTCTCTGATTCCATTCTGTCTCCGGATGCTTTACAGACTCTCCCTCAGAGGCTATTCGATCAGGACTTTGCCGTGACGTGCCAGGACACTTCTCGTGACCGAGTCCCACAACAACTCAACATGCCCATGCTACCGGTGTGTAGGGCAACAGACGTTCGGCGCCCGAATTCCCAGGCCGAAGACTGGGACTACTTCGTCAGCTGCGACGTCCAGTGCTTGGGCACCAAGTGGCCTTCGTCCCCTGTGGGTGGGAAAGGGCCTACGGCAGGGCACGACGCGGCCGGGCGCGTTGGTCTCATGGGGCGGGTGCATGCCGGCCACGGCGGGAACGGCAGCTGTCCTCAGGTTCTGAGCACCGAAACACCTAAGTGAAAAAGGCTAAGCGCTAAACTAAATCCTAAAAGCCTAAACCCTTAATCCTAAGACCCTAAACCCCTCATCCTAAAGCCTTAACCCTACACCCTAAACCCCTAGAGGTTCTGAGCCGCGACTGCCAGCCGACGCTTCAGAGAACACCTGGGGCAGCCGGGCAGAACGGCCTGGCCATCTTGCGCCGGTGCAGGACGCCCAGCCCCGATACCCGAAACCCCAGCCTGAAACCCAAAGCCCAGTTCTTGGAACTCAAACAAAAGACCGAAACCCAATCCGTAAACCCTAAACCCTAAACCCTTAACCCCGAAACCCTAAACCCAAAGAACCCTAAACTTTGAACCAGGATGGAGGGTGCTTACACACTGGCCCTCCAGCGGTGCGATGGCAGCAGCAACTGGTCGATCCATGGCCTCTGGCCACGAGGTTTGGGGGTTGAGGGTTTAGGATCCGCCTTTCTGGAGTTGGTGGTTTGGGATTTGGGTTTTTAGGGCCTTTAGGGTTTGGGGATTCGGATGATAATGTTTATGGTTTCAGGATGTAGGTTTGGGATTTGATGCTGATTGTTGAGGGTTGCAGACCCGTATACCAGACATCCGCAAACCTTGAACTTACAGGTTTCGAAAGGGGGCCCCCGTTCCAGAACGACCCTTGCGAGGCGTGCGTGATTGCCAAGAGATCAACCTGGATCTGTCTACCCTCTCTGGCCTGAAAGCAGAGCTGCTGAAGAAGTGGCCTTCCTGCCAGCAGTCCACTACCACGGAAGCTTTCTGGCAGCATGAGTGGCAGAAACACGGGACTTGCCTGAGCAGCAGTCCGGCGCACTATTTTGAACTGGCCCTGCGGCTACTGGGGCAGCACGCCCATGCCTGCGCCGAATACACCTCCACGGACTGTCGGCTTTGTCTCACAGAGGACTTCGAGCTGTGCACACGGGACTCTTCAAAGTCGGCTCCAGAAGGAGCTGCGCCCTGACCCATGGGTTTGATTTCAGCTTTTTTGCAACTCTGACCTGGCCTTGGACATGTGTAGTTGAGGGTTGAGGTTATGGGTTTAGATGACTTTCCTGATCCCTTGATGCGAACCGTTCTCTGTGGACGACGGGCAACGGCAAAACAGGACATGAAGGCCAACAGTGCTGCGCTATGTGAGGGAATGGGCTCGAGCCTAAGTTGGTAGCGCAAGGGAGGTGTGCTATGTAACTTGAGCATGTTTCAGTCTGTTCGGGGTCCTTCTTGCTAGATTCCTTGCGCAAGGGTGGGCAGCCCTGCTTAAGAACAACCGGACGCGAAGTTAAGATTAAAGATTTCTGGCAGCTGGTGGCACGCATCCAGCACTACTCTCTACGCCCTCAGCCCTGTAACCTTACCCCACAAGCTCTACTAGTCTAAGCACCCCAAACCCTAAATTGCCCTAAGGCCTTCACCGATTCTGTCAAGGTTTGCTTTCGATTTCTACATATGGGGTGCAAGTTCTTGTTGAAACCCCAAACCCGAGGCCACGTGATCGGACCAAGCGAATAGGACCGAAATGGGCATAGGGCTACCTTATTTTGGGGTCCTTATAATAAGGATCCTAGTTATTTAGGGTACTATATTTGGGTCCCCAATTTCCGGAAACCCCGAATGGCCGACCTTGCATTCTCTGGTCCAATCGCCTCAAGCTGTGCCAACCGCAGGCAGCTCTGTCATCGTACTTCCGTCAGTCAACCCCGGGCCTCAAAACCTCAAACCCAAGATCCAACTGATCCAACCCCCAAACCCTAAACCCTAAACCCGAAGCCCTTCGACACGCGGCTGTGTTCCATGCGTGGCGCAGCTATGCCATGGCCGGTGAAGCAGGCTCCGTGTTTTCTTTATGCCATACAAGTCTTCAAGTGTTGTGAGGATTTATGTTTCAGGGTTGAGGCCACGGGGTTTAGGGTTTCGGATATCGTAGGGTTTACGTACTAGGACCACTTGGAAAGCTTTCAACCTAAACCCTGAACCCTATCGTGCGACCAGGTGCAGATGCCGCCTTTGCCTTGATCTCCGACCACGCCGGTCTCCCAGCATTTCTCTCGATTTCGAGGTTGACTTTAAAGGCCTATCTCTAAGACCTACCTTTAACGCCTACATGCCAAAACCCTAGCGCTTTGAAGGGCTACAAAGGCACCCGAAGCCGGACTTGGCCTCCGAAGTGTCCCCATCGGTGTTTCCGTTCCGTTCGCATCTCGAGGTGTGCACCTACCATGGTGGAAGCGTTTCGGTGGACACGGTCGAGGCTGCAAGCCTTCTGATGCCTCGGATGTTGAGAGATAAGCCTGAGGCTTCATCTGTTGCCCAGAGTATCCCTTAATTAAGGAATGTACCTTAGATCATGTTAGAGATCCTACTATTATCATGTAAGGTCTGCTCCTTAATTAAGGGATATGGGAGTCTCTGGGTGTAGCGCTGAAGCTAGAGGCTCTGGGGGTGGGGTTCCTTGGGAGTGAAGCATACCACAAGGCGCTATGCCCCCTCCAAACCATCCCGTCCGTGCCGACGCACTCCACAGTACTATAGTAGGATTCTGGCCCTTAGATCCCCAAAGCCCTAAGCCCTAAGGGATTAGGGTTTGGGGTCTGCTTCCTTGACCGTGAATCCTAAGCCCTGAGGTTCTTTTAGGATTTTTCAGGGTGTACTTGGAGGGTCAGTTATCTTAGAGACGTACGTATAAGTACCATAAGCCCAATTAGGATTCTTTTTAGTGCGCCCATAACTCTACTTACTACCTACTTACTAAGTCCCTCGACCCTTCAAGTCAGGACGTCTCCCTCAGTTTCCCCTAAACCCTAAACCCTAAACCCTAAACCCTAAACCCTAAACCCTAAACCGAAGTAGAGGCTTGGGGTCCCAACAGCAACTCCGACTTCCAACTTCTCCTCTTTCCAGACCTTCCAAGACGTAATGACTTTATTAAGGAATATGCCTTAAAGGGTTCCTCAAAAGGGGTCTGTTATCAGGGTTCTATAAGAAAATTAAGGAATATGCCGTATCTGGTAGTAGGATCCCTAGTACAGTGTAAGGGATATTCCTCGATTAAGGGATGCTCCAAGGTCTGGCTTCTTCTTGTTTAGCATCAAAAACTATAGCCTGAAGCCCTAAACTCCAAGTGCAACCGTAACCCCCGAGCACCAAACTTTGGGTCTGGATCGTCGTACGTACTATGCGCCATGGATGTCAGAGCCGGATAGTGTTTGCATCCTGACCCTGAAACCCTAGACCCCACAAGTCCCGGCAACTTCAACCCTCGAAACTCTAGAAGGACGCTTTTAAGCATATTCGAGCCCCCAAGGATCTTACCAAGCACGAACAGTCTTCACACGTTGTGAGGCGACCAAACACCTCAAAAACAGCCTTTGCAAGAGATATTCCTGTAAATCCGGATTCATATGAACACTCAAATGCTCAGCAAACCCTGACCAACTCACCGTTGTTGTCAAGCTGCTTAAAGCCTGAGACCCCATGAGAGGCAGTATAGATAAGAAGCATCCTAGAGTAAACCCGAAACCCAAAACCCTAACACCCTCACCCAGTCCCGACCCGCAGGGCAAGGGCCGCGTGCTCCGTGCCGAGCGCGACTTCGAAGCCGGCGCAGCCCAGCTGCGCTTTGATTTCGACGTTTTAGACGGTAGGGTTTCGGGTTTGCGGTTTGGGGGGTTTGTGTTTGGGGGTCTCGTGGATGCTTGCTGGTAGGGCTAGGGGTATTGTAAGTCTTCAAAACCCTTTCATAGGCCCCGCTAGACATGTTCACAAGATTCAATCACCAGGTTCCTACAGTCGGGGGACTTAGTAAGTAGGCAACAAGTAGACTTATAAATGCTCGTAATTGGGTTTTGGTATATATATATATATATATATATACGCCTATGGAACAACTGCTTACCAAGTCCTGCGACCCTCCAGGTAGGGGTGTAAGGTTCAGATAGGCGTACAGCAAAGGGTCTAGCGTCGAGGGCTTGGGATTCGAGCTTTAGGTCAAAGTGCTTCGAGTTTGGGGGAATCTGGTTTGGGATTCAAGAAAGACCTTCAACACCCTAAGCCGACGTTTCGTGGGGGACGTAGGAGTGGTTTGTACACAAATCCATGCATTACCATATGGACTGTAGCGCAATACCTCTAGCCTTTGTCAATCCTGTGGAAAAAGCTAAACGTAAAGTGCGAACAGGGGTTTCACCCTGAAAACCTGGTTAAGGTTTCAGTTCAACAAAGTTGAGCCAGAAGTAGCTCCGATCCCCGAACCCATGAACCCGAAGGGAGGCTCTTTGGACTCTAGCATGTCTCATGTCTGCCAGACACTTGTAGGGTTTAGGGCTTGCTATCATCGTTAAGCCAGACTGGCAGCTTTAGTTTTGAAGAGAGAGGGGTGAGAGTCACCAGGAGCGGATCCTGCTGGAGTATCCCCTCATTGAGGCCGGGATTTTGGGATTGGGGATGTGGTCGGGTAGAGATTTGCGTTTTTGGTTTTGTGGGGTTGGGAGTTTGGGGGGTTTGGGGATTGTTTTTTTAGCAGTTTGGCTCAGGGATCTAGGGTGGAGGTGAAATCTAACTTTCTTGGGTGTACGGTTGTGCTGGGGGTTTAGTAGTCCCTTGTTGCCTTGCAGGTGCAGGGTTGACTTAAGAACAACACCTCAGGGCCTGAATTCCCCAAGTCAAAACCTCCAAAGTCAGGCTTTTTACTCTGCTCCAAAGTTTGCGGTGGCAGGTGGCGAGGTTTGGGTAAGGTTTCGGGCTCAGGGTTCAGGGTATCGGGTTTATAGGGTTTAGGGGCAATCGGTTGCGGTTTTGGGTCGTCATTCGCTTCGGGTTGAGGCGAGGGTGCCTCACAAATGCTCGAAGGAAGCCCTAAACCTTGAGCCCCTAACACACCCAAACGGTCAGAATCATAAGTATCCTTTCACCACCTCAAAGCCTCCTAGAACCAGCCATAAGAACTGTGAAACATCAACCGTCAGCCTGTCCAGAGCAACCTTGGGCTGCAGGGTGTGCGGATGGCAGCATGACAGGGTAGAAGGACCCAGAGCTTCCAAAACCCCTTAATTAAGGAAGATTCCTTAAATCATATTAGGGATCCTACTATAATTTAAGGTATATTCCTTAATTAAGGGGTTTTGGAGTGTCTGGGGAAGTGCTGCGCAACGCCACCCCCGAGCAAAAACTGGAGTTTTGATGATTGGAACCGGGAGGGCCCTGTCATATGAAACGGAAAAGGGGCTATCGGGGGCTCTCTGGGCTTCTGAACCGTAAGGGCCTAAGCCTAAAGGCAAAGTAGCAGACACCTTAAACCCAAGCCTTCGAAAGGTAATTTTTGCCACCGGTGTTGTCACCCCTGTCTCCTGTGCTGAAATCTAAACCCTAAACCCCAAACACAATATCCCAAATCCTAAACTCCAAACCCTAAACCCTAAACTCAAAACCGATCAGGCCGTGGCAGCTCCGGCACTCCCAGCAGTGCGGGCTTTGCGAACGCTCAGAGAGGAGTTGTTCTTTCCTTCCGGGTTTAGATCGTCGATTCTCAGGGGATATCAAACGGCTCTGTAAGGATTGCCGAGGGGTTCAACCTGGTTTTATAGTGGTTTTGAAGGGTCATGCTCGGGTGCCTGGTTTAGGGAGTAGGGGCTTAGCGTTGGGATTTGGGGTTCAGGGTTTCGGATTTGGGATTTGGGGTCAGGTGTTTGGGATGGAAGGTGCAGGATTTGGGCCCAAGGCCTTAGAACCGTTTATGCGCGTTCTGAGTTTCAGAAGTTACAGCATGCATGCACTGCCGACCGGACCTCTAAATCCCCAAACTCTTCAACCCGATAAACCCTGAACCCTCAAACCTAAAGCCTAACCCCTAAGCCCCCAAAACCCCAAAGCCCCCCGAAAGCAACCGTAAACCGCGAGTCGGAAGCTCCCTCCACGCACGACTCCGCAACCACTACATTCCACGGTTTAGGGTTTAGTTCTTGCAGC